CCCCCCAAAGCCAGAGCCCCCTCCTACATCCCAAAGCTCTCCTCCTCAGCCCCGCCCCGGAGCCCACCCGCTAGTCACGTGATGTTGAGTTGTGGGCCTCAACAATCTTCTTCCACTGGGTTGTGAGAAAACAAGTTTGAAAACTGCTGGTTTATAAATGCCCTGTCCTGTCTCCTTGCCAGAAGCTACCTTCCTGCCTGGGGTCACTGCAGTAGGTCGCATTTCCCTCCCCAGCTGTCCGCATCCGGGGCGACCGCATGGGCGGGGTGCTTTCTGGGACACGCTGGGAGAGGAACGAGGGACACGCACGTAGTCAATGGTCACGAAAGCACCGCGGCTCCAGTCGGCCTCGGCATTTTACATCAGTGACTCTTTTGGGTGGGTGGGGTCTTTGAAATCTTCCCCTCCCCTTGTCTGCTGGACATCTGCCTCCCCTCCCCCACCCCCATTCGTTCATGTGTCTCTGTCTCCCGGGGCAGGAAGTCCGATGCGGCGGTGGAAATGGACGAGATGATGGCTGCTATGGTGCTGACTAGCTTGTCCTGCAGCCCTGTGGTCCAGAGCCCGCCAAGCCGCGAGAGCAGCATGCCGGGTGAGTCCCACAGGGTGCCGGGGTCCCACGCCTGCCTTCCTCTGTATTTCAGCACCAGAGGCTGACTGGAGGTGCCGTTGTGCTCCCCAGGGTGGGAAATCTACTCGCCTCCAACCGTAGGTTTTCCCAGGCAAACAGAGACCCCCCCGCCCAGATAACTGTGTGACTGCCACTTCCCAGGCGCCGACGTCCCAGCGCCTGCTCTCTGCTGGTGATGTCCCGCTGGCCCTGAAGCACCCGCTGCCTTTGGGGTCAGGTCTCTAGAGAGGAGATATCCCCTGCGGCAGCGGGTAAGCCATGGCTTGGAAGTCAGCAATCTGCTCCTGGCAGGGTTTGTTCTGTCTTTGGCAGCGATGGGCAACCTAAGCTTGTGGGAGGGCCGCTCACGGGGCCCGCTTTCATCTCGCTGGGCCACAAGATTGTCGTAACCAAGCCGGTCTCCCGGGAGAGGGTCGTTTTGCTCACTGCGCTGGCGTGCCCAGAATTTGCAGGGCGAGTCGATTGCAGGGTAGTGGCGCTGTGAAGGCGCGCCTGGGTCTCACAGCCTGTGTCTACACTAGTGCAAGAACGTAGCCATGTGCTTTGGCACAAGAGCATCGATGGCAGTGTGGACGCTCTCTTACGCAAGAAAGCGCCGATGGCCATCTTAGCCATAGGGCTTTCTTGTGCAAGAAGCCCTTGCCACGCGTCCACACTGCCCTCTTGTGCACCAGGGCTTACACTAGTTAGAGAAGAGCGTAGCTCTTGCGCAGGAAGCCCCGTCTTCCGCCGCCGTGCTGTAAATCTTGCACAAGAGCGGGCGAGCAGTGTGGACGCTCTGCACGTGGGCAATAGTAAAGAACATGCCTCGGGGTCACACAAGGAGCCTGTGGGCCACAGGTTGCCCACCAGTGGCCCATGTGCTGGTGAAGGAATTGTTGGCGGGGCCTCGAAGGCTGCGTGTGCGTGCAGAACTCTGCCTGTGGCTGTGTCGGGGAGCAGTGTGACGAGGTGCCAGCTCTGTGCCAGCAGGAGCCCCTCGGGTAGATGCAGTGATCCGAAACCTGTTATCCTCGGCATCATCCCAACCCTTCCTTGTCCCTTGCCTGTCTCGTGCTGGGGGACACGGAGGGGAGACAGATAAAACACAGAGGTTTGGATAACAGAGCACAGACCTCCAGGCAGGATGGCTCAGAGGAAGGGGAGCAGGAGGCGATCCCAGCCAGAGGGAATCCCACAAATGTTCCCTCCAATTGTGTGCACCTGTGTTCGGAATAAATTTTGTGGCATGCACCAAGGCATGTGTGGATGCGCACCACCCTTAGAGACCCCTACTGCCAGTAGCATGTAGGTGGCATGGGCCAACCTGCCAACAGAGGGCAGGCCATCTCTCAGGGTGACAGGGCCAGTCTTGGGGCGGGGGGAGGGTTTGGGCTCTCAGGACAGAGCCCTCACACTGAGCTCTGACTATGCCGCTGCAGGTGAGCGTGGGCACTGCCGGGCGCTGTCCAATAGGAGGGGATCTTCTGGCCCATCAGAGCTGAAGGTGGGCGGCGTTTGCTGCCATGGCTGTTTCAGTGCTGCGGACAGCCTGAGCCGTCTGAGAGCCTGGGCCCTCCAACCAAAGGAAGCACGTTCCCTAAAGGGCTTCCCTCTTCCTCCCGCCATCACCTGCGTCTTGCCAGGGCTCATTTCCAGCCGGCTGCTGGGTGTAGCCCAGCGCTGGGCCGTGGCGCCGATTGCATTTCCTGGAGCGCTGGGTGGGGTCCGTGCATGGGTGGCTTTCCGCCTGCGTTTTCCCAACCACGTCCTGAAAACCTGGAATAAAACGGGGGTGGGGGGACAGTGTTTGGAGGGGTCCGGGGTGACCCTGTGGCTCAGTCTGAGAGGGAGGACTTGAGCCGTTTCCCGGTGCCCTGGCAACTTCTTGGCGCCTGGAGGAGATGGTGCTGAATGGCAAGTCGGGCAAAGGAAGCAGAGAGGTGCAGCCGCCTGACTGGAATTCCCCTGTCAGGGAGCATCTACCAGAGCCCGTGTCTGACCCACGCCCAGGCCCATCCTGACTGAGAGGATCCTGGCAGCTGACAACTCGGCTTGGGTCTAATTCCCAGCGCCTCAGCCAGTCCCCTCCCCCGCTGGGTCCCCGCTTGCGGGCTCGCAAAACGAGGTCTGTGGCCGAAAGGACTGTACGAGCACCGGCTTTGCGGGCAGCCATCCCCCCTCGGGGGGTTCGTTTTGTTTCCCTGCGCGCCATCCGACAGCGTGGAAAGGAACCGTTTCGAAACCCCACGTCGGACACAGGTGCCGGGGCTTGGTCTGGCCTCGCGGGGGTCAGGCGAGTGGGGGCGGGATCTTGCGGGTAATGTTACAGAGGGGGCACCGCGAGGGACCCGGTCTTTCTGCCCACGGGTCCCGTGGGGCAGGTGGGGCAGCGGCAGAGCCCGTAGCAGGTAGCTCCTGCAGAGGGACTTCGGATACCAATCCCCGGGGACGTGGGTTTGGACGCCACAGGCAGCCGCGGGCAGGGAGGGTGGCGTAGGTTAAAGAATGGAATTGCCCCGGAGAGCTTGAGGTGGGGGGAGTGGCAGGAGGGCTCCTGGGCAAGGTGGGGCAGCTGGCTCCCCCCACCCCCAGAAAGGGGGTGCTGGAGAGCCAGCCCAGCCCACAGCACCGCCCCCCCCCCTCCAGGCCTTGGACCCCAGCTCCGGCTGCTGTCTGGGAGCCCTGGGCAGGCCCCTTGGGATAGCTGGGTCCCAGAGCAACTGCCCCCTTTGCCCTCCCCCACCAGCGGTCCGGAATGCTGGAAACCCTGTTTTAATTAGGACAAAGCTCTTCAGGCTGCCCCCCCCTTATCTGTTCGCAATTGTTTGCTCTATTTATCAAGCCTATCTGATTGGGAGGATCCAACGAAGAATGGGGGGGGAGGGGAGACTGGCTTTCCGAAAGCGTCTGCAAACGGGAGTCAGAAAGCCGTGGGGCGCAGGGACCAGCCTGCTTCGGGACAGCTGCTTTAATGCAGGTCGCCCTGAACAGCTGGCCCGGCCGGGGGGGGGGGGGGGAGGGGCATTCCTCGAGAGAGGGGAGAGCCGAACCCTGCCCTCAGCTGCCGTGTGCGGTAGATCGGCCGGACCTATTCTGGGCGCTGCGGGCCTGGGGGCACCGAACGGCCGCTCCCTTTCTGGAGCGGCGGTTCCACTCCCAAGGAGTCAGCTGGAGCGAGGTGGCTAAAAATAGGCGTCTGCAGCTGCGAGAAACAAGCCTCGCCTGCCGCTGGCTCGCTCTCTGCACGTGGACCAGGCTCTGACGAGCGGCAGGCGAGCCCTCGAATGGCTAGGCCTGGGCGTCTCCGTCTGGACCACGGCTCTGCCCAGAGAGACTGGAAACGGAAACTGGGTTAAGGCAGAATAAACGAACTTGCCTTCCCACCGTCCGTCACTCGACGCGCAGCTGTGCTTCTCCGTGGAGAGCGTGCCTGTGTCCGGCACGACCAAGCACGTCGCCCTAGAGAGCGGCTGCGTATCCTGGGGATGTTCCATATTGTTTAATTGAATCATCCTGTAACCGCATCAGATCTTAGCGCTTACACGATTCCTTGATGGTCCCCGGGGGCAGGGCCAGCAGCCGGTCCGCTCCCGGCTCCACTCCCAGGGAGCCTCCTGCTTCCCCGTGCTGATGCCTCTGTAAAAACCGGCTCCCACCTTCCGCCCTGCGCTGCTGCCTCTGATACAGAGGCAGCAACAAGGGGCGGCAGCAGCCTCTGTCCGCAGGGGGCCTGAGCTCCCCCTGGACAGAGGCTGCTCTGGTATCCCGCCTGCCCCCATCCCTGCCGATACAGAGGCAGCTGCGGAGAGGGGTGGAGGTGGGGGTCGCAAAGCCAGTGCTTGTGGAGAGCCGTCTTTTAAGTCGGCTCCCCCCATGCACCAGCTCCTGCCTCCCCCCCACAATGTTTCCTCCGATAGAGGCAACGGCATGTGTGTGGGAGGAGGGGAGGCAGACAGCTCCGCGGGAGCTGGTACACAGCAGGAGCTGGCTTGAAAGCTGACCCCCCTGTGTATACTGGCTCCCACCTGTCCCCCCGACCCTCCACGCTGCTGTCTCTCTATCAGAGGCAGCAGCGCAGGAGAGGTGGGGTCAGGCGGCTCCGTGGGATCTGATAGAGAGTCAGCAAGGGGGACAGGGAGTGTGTGTAGTCGTTTGGATTAACCGATAAGCCCAGGCTTATGGGTTAACCCTTTAGATGACTATGTGCTGACATCCTAGCGTATCACTGCACCCACCCATCAGTCTCTATGCCCTTCACTGGAACAGATGCGGCAAGAATTCCTATAATCAGGCTTCTGGGCTACCTGGGGAAAAGTTTGTCTTCAGGTTGATGGAGCCTCTTGGTTCATGGCATGTACATCTCCGGGCTAGATCAGCTTCCCAGTTCTGGCTGGGCCAGTGAGGAAGTGGTATTTGAGCCCTGCCATTGCCACGCCGGCTAGAACCCGTAGCTACAGAGATTCTCTGCTCTTCTCTGACCTCTCCCATCCGGGGCTCTCGAAATGCCTTGTGACGATGATACAATGAAGCCTGCGAGGTGGGCGGCACGAGCTGTCTCGTACGGGAGGTGTGAAGGCAGCGGGAGGCAAAGGGCCATAGAGGGAGTCGTGGCTAGCGCCAGGTCTAGAATCCTGAGCTCTTGGCTTTGAGCCCTGTGCAAGTGGGGAGAAGGTAAATGGGGCACATTTTGATATTGAGTCCCGTGGTTTTAATTTGGGGGCCAAAGGTCTCTGTTCTGATTGCACCCACCCCACCCTCAATGGCAGCGCAAGTGGGGGAAGTGGTTACGTGTCTCCCCATTGTGCCTGATCCGAGGAGGATGGGAGTGTTACATGGTGTGGTGCTTGGTCCCGTTGAGGCTTGCAGCTCCAGGGGTCCGGAATTTGATCCTGGGTGTTCCATTCTCCTCTTTTCCTTGGCTCAGTGTCCCAGGCGGCCTGTGACTCATGGAAGGAGAGCGGCGACGTGTCGGACAGTGGCAGCAGCACCACCAGCGGACACTGGAGTGGCGGCAGCGACATCTCCACCCCATCGCCCCCACACCCTGAAGCCAGCCCCAAGTACTCGAGCGAGGCCTTGAGCTCCCCTCAGGCCGACGACGGCTTTGAGACCGACTCGGATCCCTTTCTCCTCGATGAGCCTGCCCCAAGAAAGAGAAAGGTACTGAGGGCAGGTGGAAATTTGCTGTGAATGCTCATTCTTGGGAGCTGCGTGAGGGAGTGAAACTGACAAGGCATTTGTCAGTTTCACCTGTCTCTTAAGCCAGCAGGAGAGGCTGGAAGCCAAGTGCCACTTACTAACCCTTAGTAACCTTCACCTTAGAGGTCCCCGAGCAGAAAGGGGGCCCGGGATGGGAGAAAGGAAGAGACCCCAGGGATACAAAGGGGAGTGGTGGGGAGGAAGAGATAGTAGCCCAAGATTCAATATGGGCAACAGGTGGCTTTGATGTCAGCCGTAGGGAGAAAGAGGAGCGTAGAGGGAGAAACTGGCAAGGCTGGGAGTGGGGAAGTAAAAGCCAGAGACAACTGGAGTCTTCCTCATGGCTGGTTGAAACCTGGCACCTCCGTGGGCGTCACCGTGACAGGGCCGGAGAGGTGTGCGGGGAATGGGACAGAATGGCAGCATCCCGGGGCCTGTGTTCGGTGGTCGGGGGGCTGTTTCTGTCCCTTCTGAGCTGGGCCTGGGGGGAGCCGTTCCGTGACACGGGCCTGTCTTCCTCCTAGAACTCGGTGAAGGTGATGTACAAGTGCCTGTGGCCGAACTGCGGCAAAGTCTTGCGCTCCATCGTCGGCATCAAGCGCCACGTCAAGACCCAGCACCTGGGGTAAGGTGGCGGGCGGGGATTTTCCCCGCGGGTCTCAGGCGGGGCTGGGAGGAAAGGGCGAGGAGCAGGGTTGATTCCTACAGAGAGGGCTGCCCCACCGACACTGACCAGTGAGTTACGTTTGTACAGCCCCTGGCACAACACAGGCACTAAGCCCAATTAGGGTCTTTGGGTGCCTCTGAAATCCAAATAACAATAGCAGAGAAGGCGGTTCAAGAAGGGGAGATGGGATGTATCTGCGGGGCTGGGAGGAAAGGGCGAGGAGCAGGGTTGATTCCTACAGAGAGGGCTGCCCCACCGACACTGACCAGTGAGTTACGTTTGTACAGCCCCTGGCACAACACAGGCACTAAGCCCAATTAGGGTCTTTGGGTGCCTCTGAAATCCAAATAACAATAGCAGAGAAGGCGGTTCAAGAAGGGGAGATGGGATGTATCTTTAAGCGCCCCCCCCCCCAACTCCGCCTTAAAACTGGCTTGTTTTGGAAACAAGCCCTCTGCAGCACACGCCCTTCATCCGCTAATGAACTCAAGTCATGACAAGGGGTGCTCCGTCTGGCCTGTTTCTGGTGTGGGGGCGCCCCCTTGTGGAGATTCAGGGTTGGTTCTCCAGGCATTTCAAAGGCCGTAAAGCTGGGGCGTGGGGACTTTGTTTTGACCAAGTTCCAAAGAAAAATTTTTCGGGGGCCACACACCAGTGAGAAGCTTAAAAAAAAACCCCAAATGTAAAAGGAAACACACCTCGCTGGCCCAGGCCTCGAGAAAACAAAACAAAAAGACACACAGACCCACTCGGGGCGCTGGGGCTCCCTTGTGCTCTATAGCCCCCCGTGGGTGGATGCAGCCACCAGCTTCGAAGCTCAGGTTCCCCATCTCCCCTCCTCCACAGTGGTGCAACCCGGCGCTAACGCTCCAGCCATACGGAGAGGGGTACGGAGGCAGGGAGACTTGCAGAGGGGATGGAGCGCTAGCGCCGGCTCGCCCCACTGTGGAGGGAGTGGGGAAGTAGGTAAAGGAAGCCCCAAGACTCACCGCAGGCTGGATCAAGGGAAGCGGGGGGCCGGATCCGGCCTATGGGCCGTTTGTTCCCCACCCCTGTCCTAAAGGAGTGTAGAGATGGGAACTGTGTGTGCTGTGGGCGTCTCTCTCTCTCTGTCCATCAAGGGCCCAAAGTAAAGACTCCCTGGTTACCCCTGGCTGCCCCATCTGACTAGTACAGACGCAAGCTGCAGGTCTGAATTATCCATCAAGGGCCCAAAGTAAAGACTCCGTGGTTACCCCTGGCTGCCCCATCTGATTAGTACAGGTGCAAGCTGCAGGTCTGAATTTGTGCAGCACCTCTGGTACAGTGAGGAAAGGCTTCTGTCACGCACGAGCAGGCTGGGCAGGGGAAGCTAACGTCCCGTCTCACCCCCTGCTTTGCTGATCTTTCCAAGAAACCTCCAGCCCTGAATGGAAGTTGGTTTGGGTTTAATTTTTGTGTTCTCCCTGCTGTGTGCTGTACAAGTTACCACAGAAGAGAGGCTGGGTCTGAGCATAAGGCTTCCCCCCACGATCTACTAGGCCAGGCCCCACTAGGCTCTGGTGTGTGAGAGGACTGTGGGGGAGTGTCTTTGTCTTGCTGCATCTCAGTTGGGGGCCATGTCTTTTTTTTTTTTTTTCCCCTTCTTCTTTCTTCTTCTTGACGGATTTTTCTGTGGTTCCCGACCCCTCCCAAAAAGAGTCCTATCCCTATTTGATAGCCTCACGTTTGTCGGTTGCGTGACATTTTTCCTGTTGCCTTGACCCTACGTGAAAGCTCCAAACAAAGCATGGGGGAAACTGACCATACAGAGGACCCAGGGAAACTGTCAACTCTTTTCTAATCGCTTTCTGTTACACTCCTCTCGTGTTTTATGTGCAACAGGGGCAGATAAAGCAGCGAGGTGTTTAAGCGGATGATGTCCATTTAACTAGCTAATACAGCTAAATCCTTTTAAAGACACAAAGCACCTTCTCCTAGACGTGCTAAATATTACTGTGCAGTGACTGTAGGCCAAAGATACCCTACAGCCTTAGGGTACGTGTACACAGCTTCTCAGAGCCTGCAGGAACACGCCTCCCAGCTCTGCTTGACAAAATAGCTGGGTGCTAGTTCCAGCGACAACTTCAAAGCATTGTCTGCATACTTATTTTTACAGCTCTTGCCCAAGTCCCATTAACCTAAGTCTGAGGGCCAAGTCTCGGAGGCTTGCACCTGCAGGCTCTAACATGTTATGTCAATGGATCCTTTGGAGTCCAAAGGTTTGCTTGGCACTTCCTGATGTACATGACACGGCAGAGGCAGGGCTGAGCAAAGGCATGGAAGTAGCCCCATCTTTATGCAGCCAGGAAAGGGAGAAAGGAAAAGCCATTGATTCCCAGAAGCAGCTAGTAACTGTGGAAGTGGTAGCAGGTGTTGGAGGGTATGAATGGGAGTCATACAAATAGTGGCAGAACTGCATGCTGATGTTGCTAGGTCAGCATCAATGTTCCCTCTAATTTTTCCATGCATGTGCGGAATAAATTTTTACATGCACCGGAGTATGTGCAAATGTGCACCACCCGCTGAAACAAAAAGCCTATTGTGAGCGCTCTGTTAATTAGCTGGGCAGGATTGGAATTTCTCCGGAGCACCTGCACAAGCGCCAAGCTTATAGGGAACACTCTTTGAAAAGCACGTAGCCTTTAATCTGAGCCGGGCCATGGAGACCTTGGTGTAACAGTGGGACTGAAGAAGAGGACTCTCCACAAGGGAGATCCTGGCACGGCCAGCTCTGAGAATGAGCTCGAAACCGTGGCCTTAATAGCGGGTTTGTCTGAGCACTGCCACCTGCATCGTGCTGGCACTGCACACAAGGCTGATCGAAGGAGGGCGGGTTACGCACTGTGATTATTGACTCGTCCCTTTCCCCTTTTGCAACCACCACAGAGATGGCGCAGACTCTGACCAGCGGAAGAGGGAGGAAGATTTCTACTACACGGAAGTGCAGGTGAAAGAAGAAACTGCTCCCGAATCTGCCACCAGCCCCACCTTTGGGTCCTCGCCCATCGTCATCCAACAGGCCCTAGCCAAGCCAGAGGCTTTGGCTTTGGATCAGGCAACCTTGGAGTCTCCCCTGCCAAACAGTGCCCTGAGTCAGTCTGCCCCCAGTTCCTTCTGGCATATCCAGGCAGATCATGCCTATCAGGTATGTTGGCCACTTACGGGATTAAAATGATGGAGTGGTACCTGGCACCCTCCTTCTTAGCCGCATTTGTTTTCACATCTCATGAGGGGGCTGTGCTGGAGATCGATCTTCTGGTGTTCAATTTAGAGGGTCTAGTAAAGACCCTCTAAATCAAATGCTGAGGGCGGCACTGTACTCCTTGAAGTTGTGAGCAATAAGGGAAGCCAACGAAAGCATTTACTCCCATTGACCTTGTACTGTGAAGATGGCACCAAGCTCGGCTTAAGGTACGTTGATTCCAGCTACATTATTTTCGTAGCTAGAGTTGCGTAACTTAAGCCGACCTTCTGGGTTTAGTGTAGACCTGGCCTCAGAAAACAGCTGGTTACTTATAGAATCTTCCTTACCACATAAGACCATTGGTCCATCAAGTTCTGTGTCCTGTCTCTTGCAGTGACCAGTGAGTGATGCATTGCAGAAAATAACATACGTAGCAAATTCTGTAGTGTTTGGGCATGGCAGGAAGGAGCAAATCTCCTTCCCAGACCTAGCAGTTGATCAGCAAATGGTCTGATTCTCCTTATTGTTTTGGCTTCGATAACTACACCCTAAAATAATCCTGTTCTGTTTTAAAATCCAGCCACAATATTTGACTCTACCTCCTGCTGCGGTGAGTTCCACAGATTGGATATAGGTGACATAAAGGACTTTGATTTGTTGGTTTCAAATGTACTGCCCCTTAGTTTTGATCCAGTATTTCCCTGGTTTTCATACTACAAGGGTACGTCTAGATAGCAGAGCTGTAGCTAGCCTGCATCTTTTAAATGCGTAACAGGAGCGCTGTTTCGGCATCCTTGTAACCTCATTCCACGAGGATTAAGGGATGTCTCAAAATAGCGTGTTATTTCGAAATTTGGCACTATAGACGCACCAAATTTTGAAATTCAAAATAAGATACGCAATTTGCATAGCGCAAATTGTGTGTCTTATTTTGAGTTTAGGGTGCTGTGTAGACACATCCCAAGACACCATATGAGAAGAACTCCCATTATGTTTTGTAGTCATTTGCAGCCTTGTTGTCCTCCTGCCTACTGGCTAGTCCTCATAATCACGAAGCTAAGGACCTCCGCTCTTTGTTTAAATCAATGGATTGCTTTTGCTAGCCTTTGTAATACAGTCATTTTCTTGCTATGAAAACTCTAGTTTCTAGCCACCTGCAGCACATCCCTATGTATGCAAATAAAACACAGCCAGGAATGTAACTATACCGGACCCTTGAATGTCTTGGGTATTAGGAGTCACAAGTTCAAATGCCTTTGAATGTCTGGGAAGCCGGTGTCATTACATCACTTGCAGTTAAATCTGTTTGGCTTTCTTTACACACACACACGTTGTACCTCTGAATTGGAGACACCAGGCTCCTATAGTAGATGCTGTTTTACTGGCGTATTTAGGCCAGGATAGCTTATTTACTGTATGGGGAGGGGAATAAACCCACGCCTGAAAGCAAAGGTGGGGCTTTGTGGTGCAGAACGTCTGTAAAAGTTATTTTGCTTTTTGGTGAGAGAGAGAGAGAGAGAGAAAAAGGGGGGGCCTATACTTGGGGCGGGGATGGAGGCAAGGAATCTTGTAACATGTTTCTGATTTGTCCTGCAGCCCAAGCAGCTGGGGGCTGACAGGGAAATTTGTGTCACTATCTTGGAGAAATTTGCTGCGGGGGGGGCGGGGCGGTGCGGCGCAGATGCTGCTCAGAGCCTTAGGCAGCTGGGTTGGAAGGAAGGAACGCAGCTTGCTGTGCACGGGCAGTATCGCTAGCACAGAAAGGGAGCAGCTGAGGCTGGAGCGGAGGCGTGGCGCTGGAGTGAAGGCGCTAACCTGGGATTTGGGAGATCAGGGTTCCTACGGCTCTGGGCAAGTCACTTTAAGAGTAACGTTTTCGAGTGACTTGGGCGTGTAAATTCCATTGGCCTTCAGAGCCCAAAGCTGTTGTAAAAATGGGACGTAGGCTTCTAAACCGCCCTTGGAAATTGCTTCATCTTGTGCCTTGGTTCCTCATTGGTACAATGAGGACGACATTCCCTCTCCTCCCCCTTGTCCTGTCTCTTCGGTTCCTGGGCTGGGGCTGTTCCTTGCTGTGTCTGTGTGCTCTGAGCCCCTGATCATGGCTGGGGCCTGCCAGTGCTCTGTTGTAAAAATGGGACGTAGGCTTCTAAACCGCCCTTGGAAATTGCTTCATCTTGTGCCTTGGTTCCTCATTGGTACAATGAGGACGACATTCCCTCTCCTCCCCCTTGTCCTGTCTCTTCGGTTCCTGGGCTGGGGCTGTTCCTTGCTGTGTCTGTGTGCTCTGAGCCCCTGATCATGGCTGGGGCCTGCCAGTGCT